TATATATAATGATGTTTCATTTTTATTGTGGATTTTGGTGCTTTTATCAGAGGATTTGTGATTTTTTTATCAGAGAAAACCAGGATCCCTGCTTATAATTATGTTAATATTTGCTTCTTACCATATATTTAATGTGATGTGAATCCAGGCTGATTTTTTAAATGTTATAAATTATAACTTTATTGTACTTTTAAATATGTGTGAGTGTGTATATGGCTGTAAATATGAAATACATATTTATATACACATATGTGTACACATTTATATCACTGGTTCCCAACCTTGGAGTGTGACCCAAATCAGGGTGGCAGGGGTCCTCAGTAGTGTCGTGAAAGGCCTGCACGCATACTCACACACGCGGCCCGGGAGTGGCGGGTGGGCAGGTGGGCGGGGCAGGGCCACTGTGCACAAAGTGAGCAATGGTGGCACCCGCACCCATGCCTCTGGGCTGCTACCACTGCCACCACACTCCGCTCCCAGCAGCCCCCAAGACAGCGGGTCAGGGGGTCCTGTTGGTGACCAATTTAGGGTCACAGCAAAAAAAGGTTGGGAACCACTGATCTATATAGATGTGCATATGTATGAGTGTGTGAGTGTGTATGCACATTTATATATTATGCTCACACACATACACAAATATGTTATAATTAAATATTCAAACTTTCCATAACTAACAATAAGTCTTGGAAAGGTAAACAAATCTGTTAGCAAACAGAAAAGAGAACTAATTTTGTATGGAGGAGAGAACTAATTTTGGAAAATACTTTCTAATGTCTGAGATAATATTAAAATACTTCTACAAAGTAAAAGTGAGGGGTTTTACTGTATAAAGATATACAGGGTCACAATCAGTCTCATTTAACTGAAGTCAGTTTCATTGTACCAGGGAAAAATGTGGCCTGTTGTCTTTCTGTAAAATAAGTATCACCAACCGTCTAGTTAAGTAGAATAAAATATTACACGTTATGATGTTTCAAATACTTCTTTGTTTAAACCTTTTGATACTTTATTATGATCTTATGTTCTTTTCCAACCTTCAGATAGTGAGGACTTGAAACAAATCCAATCCAGACCTTTTCAACAACAAATGCCCACATTTATAGTCTCTGATGCTAAGTGATGATAAAACTATATTGGCAAGGTTTTAAAGCAGAAGTTCTATGTAATAAGGGCTTTCAAAATCTTGGGGTAGCATGCAATAGATATCCATATCCCCTGACCAAATAATAACCCCAGGAGTCCTGTCTATTTAAATAATTGCAGTGCTTAAGGTGAGGAACAGACATTACACGTTTACCAGTATAAGTGTTCAGAAAGCAGTCTATACCCATCTTAAGAGAACAGAAGTTCAGCACACACAGATTGGTTTAAAAATTGTGGAACCCAGTTTAAGATTTCCCTCCCCCACAATGAATGTGTGTTCTGTTCACTACCAATCTGAACTATGCCGATTACAGAAAACCATGTAACTTAGATCGATTCTTCCTTGGGCTTTTTGAATGTCTGTACCTAGCCAGAAAGGGAAGATGGAAATGATTTCACAGTAATTTTGGGGGACCTCAAAATCCTTATAAAAGCATCAGAGCATTACAAAAATAACTTTCTGTTCTGATGCAAATGGTTCAAAGTGTAATTCCAAATTTAAAAGATCTTTGGATGTTTGAGGTATTGGAAATCAGATTTTATCTGAAATTCATTTATTCCTCAGGGATGAGGGCCATCACTTATGGTATAATTTGAAATAAGAATGAGGGCTATCACTTATGGTATAACTTGAAATAAGAATTTATATTTCCATCATATTTCCATCAGCCTACATAGAAACTGGAAAAGCAAAGATGCCTTTAATGCATTTAAAACTGGGAGAAGAAAGGGAGGACAAAAAGTCTCAGAGTTGTTATGCAATTTTTGTTATGTAGGAAAATCTCCATAACAAGCTCCATGTCAATATCTGTTTCTTATTAGGTGATGACATAAAAAGAAAAAAAGAATAAAATTCCATTGTGATTTACTGAATTGTAGATTGCCCAAACCAGCTTTTCTCTATTCTCCATCCAAATTTAAATATAATTCAAATTAATATGAAGTTATTTTCTTTTTTTAAACCATTGTACCATATGCAAAATAGCTTTTATTTCTGACAGTGCCGGGAGCAATTTAACATTAACCCTCTAAACCTATTATTCTGTGTATGGGGGAAGAAATCAATGCCAATTAGAAGGAGTGATGATAGTGAGGGGCTTTATAACATGGCCCTGACCTGCACATGGAAACATGCTGCTGTAACTGTATACTTGTGTAGAGTCCCATTGAAGTCAGGGGAGTGCCACATGGTCACAATGGTCATCCTATGTGGATCTGATTCTGGACTCAAGCTATTTGTTTTTAGACCCCTGATTCATCAGAGCACTTAACTACATTTTAAGCAAAAGTTTAAGTGCATCTGAATTCAAGAAAGCACATAGCTACAGGCTTAGTTTCTGATAAGGTACTTGTGCTTAAGTACTTTATAAAGTTAGAGCCTGTGTTAGATAATGCAGCCCAAGCTGACCTACTTTCATAACACTTTCCCCCTACATATAATATAAAAGTATACACTGGGCATGTTTATACATGCATATTTAATATGCATTAGCCCAATTTAAGGCCCATAAAGGGTGCACGTCTATACGCCCTTAATGCTCCTTAAAATGGCAATTTTAGGCTATTCAAGCCTAAATTTGATACCTGCTTAAAGCAGATATCAAATTTATACGCAAATAGCTAACTCGCATTAGCAAACGTGTAGACACACTAATGTGCATTAACGCAGTGTGTGTCCATTGACTTGGAACTAACTTTAGTCCCAAGTTGGTCCACATACCCATATTAATGCACCTTAGTGCATCCATGTGTAGACACACACCTAAATCGCTTTACAGTGCATTAGACTAATGTACATTAAGTTTAGATGCACATAAAAACACGTGTAGATGCCCACTGATACAAAGAAGTAGACATGCCCGCAAAGCACTGGGAAGACCTCATCAGAATGCTGTATACAGTTTTAGTTAGCTGTTTTCAAAAAGATGAATTCAAACTGGAACAGGTGCACGGAAGCTCTGAGGATGATCAGGGAATGGAGAGCCGATCTTCTGAGAGGAGATTAAAGGAGACTGGCTTATTTAGCCTTGCAAAGCAAAGGCTGAGAGAGGATATCATTGCACTCTATAAATATATCAAAGGGTAAATACCAGGGAGGGAAAACGTCTATTTAACGTAAAAAGTTATTTTGGCACAAGAACAGATTGGTGTAAATTTGGTCTTTTAGTTGGAAGTTAGGAGAAAGTTTGAATCATTGGAATACTGAGTTTCTGGAACAACTTTCCAATAGAAATAGTAGCTGCAAAAAACCTATTTTCTTTTAAAATGGAGTTTGATGAGTTTATGGAAGAGATTATCTGATGGGGTTGCCTGCAGTAGAGGTGACTTGATTGAATGTTCTGGAATGAATTTCTACTCAAGAAATTGCTGATACATTCAAACAAGACTTCCATGCAAGGCATTGCCCTGTATGTATTGATTGTTAAGAGACCTGCTTCATTTACTAGTCTGGTATTCTGTACATCTCAAATATTTCATACAGTGTTGCATTACAGTCCACTGTAGTGTATATTTAGTATAGCAGTAATTAGTATGTTTCTATCCCTTTTTTAAACAATGTATGATATTACATTACCATAACCATAAGTTTTGCTAGCAGAAACTAAAGAGTATATTAAATGTCAAAACACCAAAGCCTGGGTATTTCTATATTTGGTCTCATAGGAGCACAAGAAACACAATACAATGTGAAGTATTTTGAAGCACATTTGAAGAATGCTGTGGGTTATTTTTTTGTCCCATGGCTTCTATTAAAATCATTGGGCATATGCAGCTAGATCTGCATAGAGATATCACCAGCTATATAGTTCACCTTTCTATAACTGCTATAAGAATACATTCAATGAAAAATTATGACATTATATTCCATTTCATGCTGATCTTGCTTATCTGGAAATCACTCTGGCTACCCACATTTTTTGGCTTTTATATTCCTGACATCCCTAGCAGCCATGTACTATAGTCAGTTCTCCTGAGAGAACAAAGGTTATATGTTCAGAAGCCAGGAGGAGAAAACTATGGTGAAAACGATATGTGCACATCTGTTTTACTGGAACACTGTTAGCATTTTTTTTTCCTCAGGACTTAAGTAGCATGCCTGTTGGAGCTGTGAGCCAACTCTACATCTGCAGGAGCCAGCACTCCCTAGTTGTGCCAAGCTGAAACCTGAGATGACAGAGAAACCTGGCATGTTGTGGTTTGGATTTTTAGAATTTAGAAAATCACAAATTGGTTTTAGTGTATGCTGTACTGGACCTCATTTTTAAAACAATACATATTTAGTAGTTTTGTCCTTGCAAAAGCTCTTTGTGAAGCTTGGTACCATCAGCAGCTGTGGCTAAGTACAATTAACCAGGCCAGGGATATTTTGCACCAGCTCTACCTGGACCTCATGCTACTGCAACTGTGACTCAAGATTTTCACCTGATGCAGCAGTTCCTCCATTTTTCCACCACTCAGTACACCATGCTGCACATGTTATATCATAGCCAAAATGACTAAAAGACATGCTGCTTGAAAACATGTTTAGCATAATCTCCAAAATGGAAAATTATGAGAATTATAAAAATTGAATTAATTATAAAAACTAACCATATTTAAAGTTGCCAAAATCTATCCATTCATATGACTCAGGTGAGTAGTTTTTTTAAATGGTGGTTGAGTGAGTAAAATGAGTTTTGCCATTAGCCTCACTATAAAGAAGAGATTAAAAGAATTTATCTGGCACTTTTTTTCAAGGTATTGCTACAAAGTTTCTCCAAAAAAAACCCAAGAAGAAAGAATTAGAATTAGGTTCCAGTTACTGTCCTGATAGATCAGTGATTCAATGAAGAATTCCAGATTTTTACATCCCTTACCTGGGGGCAGTCTTTGATGTAGTGTCCCTTGTTGAAACAGAGGTGACACAGGTAGTTAGGAGGTGGCCTCTTACTGGGTTTTCTGGCTTCAGAGGAGAGGGATAGGTCAGAGAAATGCTCAGTAAGAGAGCTTAGCCCATCCACTATGTTATTAAGGGAGCCATAGGGTGATGCACTCTTGTACAAACTGCTACTCAGCGCCTGCAATGACAACAAAAAGAAAAATAGTATTGTATTAAAGGTTGTTGAGAGTGATCACAGCAGGAGCTAAAAATAGAGGAAGAACTTAAGAGAGAGTTTTTTCATTAAGAACACAGCTGCATACTTTGTGAAAGCAATATATGAACCATTAATGCAGAGGCCTCTAAGTTGTGATTCTAAAGATAGCATAATGGATCTGGTCATCCCATTGCTGGGGAAACTACTGAGTTCATTGCAGTTCTTTTAGTCCAGGGTTATCTGGCACACAGATAAGTTTTGGGGAGACCTGTAGCACGTTCGTTACCATGTTAATAATTGTTATTTGGATTAAGTGTGGAAACAACATGAAGGATGGAGAACCACTGCTGCACATGGCCCTTCTGGCTGCTATGCCTGCACCTGTCCACCAGAGAATAGCAGGGCCCAATGCTTCACCACCATCCTTGTCCACAGGAGGGGAGCAGCACTCCAGGTGTGGTCTGCAGCAGCCGTGTGCAGCAACTGTGGATCCACCACTCTCAGGGAGCCCGCAGCAGCCACGCTGTGCTCCAAGCAGTGATGGACATGGCATGCCTGGTGCGGCCCGGCATCACCTGGCCTTGTTCCATAACAGGGAGCGTGGCACAGCCCACACCAGGCAAATGGCAGCATGGCTGGAGTGGTGGGATGCGGGGGCCATGAACAGGACCTGGCACCAGGCACTGCCATAGCACAGGGGTCAGGGGTTGTGTGAAAATAGTCTGTGGTGATTTGGGAACTACTTTTTGGAAATGTTTATGAAAATATGATATTTGGAAAATTGTGTGGTAATATGGGTGTAGGTTGTAGCCGTGTTGGTCTAAGGACATAGGCAGACAAGGTTCCTTGGGTGAATCTGATATCTTTTATTAGACCAACCCAAATAGTTGGAAAATAGTTATTAAGCAAGCTTTCAGGTTCAAAAACCCTTCGTCAGGCTAAGGAAGTTTCAGCAGTTGGTGTGTGCTCTTCCTGGATGGAATGAAAAGTAAAGAATGGATGGACTTCAGGAAGAGCTGAAACTTCCTTAGCCTGACAAAGGGTTTTTTAATCCGAAAGCTTGCTTAATAATTATTTTCCAACTATTTGAGTTGGTCTAATAAAAGATATCAGATTCACCCAAGGAACCTTGTCTGCCTATGTCCTTAGACCAACACGGCTACAACCTACACCCATATTACCACACAATTTTCCAAGGAACCTTGATTGCCTGTGTGGTAATATGGGAACTTTTTCTGGAAATGTTTGGAAAGGTGAGGTTTTTGTATAGAAAACCAGAAATGTGTGGTAATTTGGGAACTTTTTTTCTGAAATTATGTGTAGAAATATTGTAATGTACAGAAAACTGGTTGTGGCATTTATAGTATAAAGTTTATAAACTTTATACTATAAATGCCATAACAATTTTTAAGTATAGCTGTTGTTAAACACCACTCATTTTATGTGTGCACTCTCAACAGCTGACCAAAACTCATTAAGTGGCCCTCCAGCCCACCCCCCTGGCTTAGACCAGCCATGCGACGAAGCAATGATTGCTTTCCTATGTTCCACAGTCTTAGTGTGCCCAGATTGTGCAAGCAAAACACTGGCAGGATGACCCACAGAAGGGAACATTTTGGTGTCCAAAACTATTTCAAAGAACAATATGGAAACCAAGGAAAAAAAGAAAAGGAAGGAAGATGTAATATAGCTGATAGTTTGCAATCGGGTTAATAGGACAGTAAATACAGAGTCCTGAATTCAAAATAATAAGAGGCAGTCAGATCTACATCTGTCTTGCATTTTCTGGGGAAACCAGCTCTGATTTAACCATTTCCTGATAAATGGCAACTACCCACTTATTGTCTTCACTTCCATGGAGACACTTTCCTCCTGCAAATCAAAATCAAGAAAATCCTGATTTGCCATTCTGAAGCTTCAGAAGTGCAGGAAACTTATAACCACCTATAGAGAAGTTAATATTCCTAATAGTGATAACAATCATCCATCCTCCTTAACTGCCTTGGGTACAACAGAAAAGTAAATGGCTGGTAGGAACTTTAAACATTTTTAAGTCTCTCCCCCGCTTCCAAGGTTTTGTAACATGGCAATATATTGTTGTGAGGACAGGACCAGTGCATGGATGTAGGTTCCCATCTAAGAAGGGGAAGAATACATTCTGCAGGATTCTGTAGGTAAACTTGCATGGGTCTAATTCTTCTCTCACACTAGTTTTACACTAGTATAACTTCACTATCTTCAATGGAATTACACAGATGGGAGACCAGAATCAGACCCCTCCTGTACCTTTATTTTTTTCACTGCTGTTAGCCAGAAAGTTGTAATAAGGGCCAGATATATATCACTTAAAACTATGTATACATTGCTTAAAATGTATATGTAGAAGCTGAGATACACAGTGAATCTGTGAAATTAATGTGCAATAACAGTTATGTTACTCTCAGAGAAACTTCAGGATTTCTGCACAAACAGCTGAGCTGATGTGATTATAGAGTCGTGTGGAGATATCTGCATTGAGTAGCCCTAAACATTGGTTGTCTACATGATTTTCAACTATTATAACCCGGCATTAGTGAACACTGATAAAAGGGGCACCAGGAGTGGTTTGTGGGATTGGGGGTTTGAGGGGAGGAGGGCTGGTTGGTTCATGCAGGGGAGGGAGTTGTCCACCTGTTGGAGGGGCAAGGGGCTTGGGGGCTAAAAATAGCCCAGTACCAGGAGGGTGGATAGGAAGAGCACAGCCCTGGGGCTAAGGGCAGCATCTGGTCTTTCACAGCCCTGGGGCTGCACTGTGAACCGTACAGAAGTTCAGGACAGTTTGATCAGTCTAGAAGTGGCCAACCTGATCTAAGTCAGACTACCTCAGACATAGGTTTAACTTAGATTGGGTCAACCATTTTTAGTAACTTCTGGGTGCATCTACATGTGCCCCTGGCTGTACCGTTGGTACTGCACAGTCATTTAGTACTTGCTTTAGCAAGTACTAAATGACTATGCATTTTTCGCTAGGACTGTGCAGTCCCAGTGGTGCATGCGTCATTTTCAGCCATACTGTGCAGTAGCAATGAGCTACTGAGCAGTAGCTCACTGCTACTGCGTGGTAGCAGCAACATCACAGTTAGTGCCTGCTGACACTACAGCGATGTAGAGTCTCATGTAGATGTAGAGTCTCATGTAGACTTTGTACAGTTCACACTTAGATCAACCTAACAGGCAACTGTGGGCGCAGATAGAGATGACAATTTTCACCTCATCTGGCCCCAGAACGTGATCTATAGCCATGACCAAACACAAGTGCACAGCTGCGGACTGCTGAAAAATAGCCAATTAGGGGAAAATCTGAAGCCTCATTGCATGAGGGTTCAGATGAAGACATTTTAAAACATAGTGTCTTCTGTAACTTGTGTCTGTACTGCCTCCCAGCCTGTAGCTGTTTTAGAATAGGAGGGGGAAAGGGAGTGAAGGGAGTTCAGTCTGGGGGTTTTTCAGTCTGTGCTGGAGGGTGGAGTGGGTGTACTGGAGCCTCCAGAGGTGGGGAGCTCCAATTCACCCACCCCACCCTCCAGTGCCAGCTGGGGAACCCCTAGAACAGGGGTGGGCAAAATGTGGCCCACGGGCCAGATGGGGCCCACCAGGCCATTCCATCCAGCTTGCAGGACCCCTAAAAAATTGAGAAAATTAATATTTATCTGCCCCTGGCTGCCTGTCATGTGGACCTCGATGGCTTGCCAAAACTCAGTAAGTGGCCCTCCGCCCAAAATAACTGCCTGCCTCTGCCCTAGAACAAGTTCGTCTACTCCATTTCCCCCCTCCCATTATGAAAACAGGAACAGGCTGGGAGGGAGGAGAGGCTGTTGCAAGGAAAAACCAGCTGCAGCCTCCCAGCCATCAGCTAGATTCTTCTTCCTGGAACCAACGGTGAACTTCTGTTTGGTCCAGGGGATTGTTGTAGCTTAGAACACTTCCTGCAAAGCATTCTGAGTTGCAGCAGGGAGCTGCACATCTGTCTGTGCCCTAAGTGTAAGGTCCACACCTGAGTGAACTAAGTTAGATCAGTTGGCCATTTTTAACATGATCTAACCTCCCCCTAACCTCCTGAATGTCTGTATACATCCATGGTGTGCAATGCAGTCCCCTTACCCACACCAGGGGGAGGTGGACTATACAGTTCAATTACATAGCTGCAACTTCTGAAAGTCAGTATGTTCTAGCACAGGGGTTCCTAAACTGTGGTACGCATATCCTTGGGGGTACACAAGACATCTCTGGGTGGTACACAGGAGAAATTGTGTAAAGGCAGATTTGATTTTCATTATAATAATAATTGGCATTTAAGGGGTTAAATTATAAAATGTATGCTGGTAGGGGTAAGCAGGCAGCTGGTAAATCTGAAAGGGTATAATAAGAAAAAATGTGGATACCTCTGTTCTAGCAGCTAGAACACAGGATTAGGAGTCAGGAACCCTGGGTTTTATTTCAGACTTACCATTGGACTTCTGTGCAATCGTGAGCTTGCAGTTACAACTATCAAGGCTCTTTGGGCATTTTCACACATGCTGTGGGATGTGGTGCTGGGCACTTTAGTTAGCAAGCCATGTTAATTAAAAGTGCCTGTGTCTTTCTGCACTGAAAAAATGGTTGGGGGGGGTGCTTTGAACTAAAGCTCATCACCATGTTTTATTTCAAAGCATTCCACTGCCATTTTTGCAGCACAGGGATACATGGCAACACTAATACATGTGCTGTGGAAAGCTACCGGGGCGCATTCATTTCTTGATTAATTGAGTCTGCTCTGACACGCTGGATTTCCAGCACATTGGAGCAGGTTCCCTGCACATCTACAGGAGCCCCTTTTGACTATCCTGGGGAAGAGATGGCTATATTTTGTGTTTACACAGTGCATAGCTCAGTGAAGCTGCAATGAGTTTTGGGGCCTCCAGCTATGCTTCCAACCTGAATATCCCACAATTGCATCCTACAGG